GATTGATGGACGTCCGGCATAGTTTGCTGAGACAATTGTGCACGTAATTAGCAATTACCCTAATGACTGTGCTGACATACACGGTGGTGTAGGGTTTGAGCGTGTGTGTCAGGGGGCTGCTGTCGGCAGAAGGGCCACGAAGGACAGGGAGGGGGGTTGTGTGCTGAAAGCCCTGTCGGTGTCTCAGAGTGACGGCTTGTCAACGAAGCACTCCTGTTTCAGACGGAGTTAAGGCTCAGGTGGCTCCGGCGGGTCCTTCTACCTCCACGTGGTGTTTCCTCAGGTCACGCCCCGTCCGGAGTGCTTTCACTTCCTCCATCAGCAGCACTTTGGTTGCTCGGTTTCCTCGTGCTTAGTGGCTTTTTAATCCACTAATTTTACCTTCCTAAACTCCCTGAAGTTGAGCAACGCAAATCTCAAATATTAATTTCTTTTCTCGATCTTGTTGGTCACACTCTAAAACATTTTTTTTCACTACAACCCACCCTCACCCAAGCATTATTATCCGCAAACTTAACTTTATTTATATGGCACAGAAAAGTGAGAAAAAAAACTTTTCACAAACTTTCTTTTAAGTTGAAAAAACTTGACCTTGAATGCACTGAGATCAAGGAGGTGCTAAAAAAGGACGTCACTAAAAGCTCATTTTGATCTGTGTTAATTCTTATACTGCTCACCACCTTAACCCACGTAATACCTGTGCTGCAGCGGGCTCTGAAACTCGACTGAAGAGTTTAATTGATATTGTGTTTTTTAATGAAAGTATTGACCTGTTGAAAAATAACTTTCTCTGAAGTCTCATATAAGAACAATAGGTTGGATATTTGTCTCTCTACCAAAAACAGTGTTTTCTATAGTGGATCAACCTGTTTTGAGAGGTTGTCTAATCATGGCAGTCTTTAAAACAATAGGTGAGATGCCTGTAATGAAACAACATGCAGATTAGCCCCACATACAACAAATGTGTGGGATTAATATTTATTCTAATCCTACATATATTGTCCCTGAAGGAGGTTGAACACAACAGTATTTGAGAAACAATGTAACGTGACAAAGTTTTTTTTTTTTTAAGAGAAAAGACAAGTGGGCCATTTTGATATTTCTCATCTATTATGCACTGAAAGGTGGTCAGGTGGTACCGGAGAATTCTGTAAGAAAAATAGCACCTAAATTCTGGCTGGTATTTTCCATGTAAGGTATGTTAATCAAACATCCCCAATATTGTCGTATCACTTCAGAAACCATATACAGTAGTTAAGCACATACCTATAAACCGCCAAGTATGAGAGGTCTATTTGCCTTTATACGCACTTAACAGCTTAAGCACAACCGTTGCCATACAGACGCCTGTGCGGCAGTACTTCCAATTATTACATGTAAATGAAAGGGCCTAATAACCGCTGATGAATTATTCAGATATAACACTGGTGTCACATTGATTTGTTCATACCAAGAGTTGTGACAAAAACAGCCCCTTCATTATAAATGACCAGTGAATTACTCATTTGTGTCATGCCTGAAGAGTGATGTGGGTTTCAGCATGGTAAGTACTCATCAAATTAGATTTGGCAGGGCACAGCCTTCAAATTGTACTCAGGGCAGCCGCTGAAGTTTATTTACTGACTGAAAAGAAAAGGTATTTGAATATCAAACAAACAAAAAATAAAATCCCATAGTCTATATTGCAGGCGTGGTGTGTTTTGTTGAACACACAAGCAGCCTTGCGAGCTGTGTGTACTCATGAGCCCTCCTGTTGTGCATGTCTTCATGACCTCTTTGGAAAAGTGAGGATGCATTTGCGCTTGTTTATCTTTCTTCATGGCAGTTGCATTCTCATGTTGAATTTAGCCTGCTTTGATGGAGCCCATTCAAAAGTGCAGTGTGCTGCGCTGCCACTAGAAATGAGGGGATCCTCAACCGAGCTAATGCTCATTTCTTTCGTCATGGCAACGCATTTTTACAGCGTTTGACTTGATAACATCATTCTCCTCAAGGGCTCAGCAAATGAAGTCCACATGCTTCCTACAACATCATTGTAGAGTGACAGCTTCAGCCAGCCAGAAGCTTGCTGGAGACAAGAAACCCCCGAAAAACGATGAGTTGTTCATTAGAAATGATGTAATCACTAAATTCCCCATTTCCAAAAAAGACACATTATGCGTCTGATTCGGCTGTCTCACTGGGAGTTAGTGGGCGTGTGTATGTGTGTGCGCGTGGGAAGGAAGTTGTCGAGTTTTGGCCGTGACAGAATTTAAATAACAGATTGCTACTGACCTAATTATGGTACTTCTGCATTAGTGTGTAATGTGCCTGAACCAGCAGAATGATACATTAGCAGTTTGTCTCCTGAATGATGAGACGGCTGCAGAGCTAATTGATTTGAAGACACAAAAGCATGGTGACTTTGGCTGTACCAACATTATCTTTCTAAAATTGGTGCCTCCTCCTCATAGTGGCTCATTGGTCTGTAAATGGCAGATAAGAAGAAAAGTGCTCACTGGCTCGTGCTCCAAAGCCTCAACAACAGCACAAGACGCTCGACTTGGCAACTTTCAAACTGGAAAAAAGGGGAGGAGAAACAAGAAGAAGCAGTAAATAAAAAATAAAAGATCATCCAGTTGGAAAAAAAAAGAGACAGAACGGGGGGTGAGAATTGAAGAGAGAGAGAAAGACAATAAGAAAAAGAGTGAGAGGAGCAAGCATGAGCAAAACCTTCCAGCATGAAAGACCCTAACCACTATATCTCCTCCCCGATAAGGCTCCAGAAGCTTATCAGCCAATGGGTAATTTCAATTAAAAGGGGTTTTGCAAGACAAGTGGTTAAATACCTCAGAGGGAACCTGTCACCACCGTAGAGGCAGCAGACTGCCTCCACAAGACCGAGGGAGAGAGGAGAGGAAGAAGAATGCATTGAATGGCTGGACTTGGCCCCAGTAGGGGCACGTGATGAGCGTTATTGCATTAGCTCCTCGCCAATCATATAATGAACTCTCTGTCGGACGAGACAAAAGTGCAGCCACACCCCTGCACCACGGCAAAAAGCTAGAAGAATGCGATCGGTAGGATTAACAATGAAGGAGCCCTGAAGGGAGGCAGAAGGAGGCCCTTTGCCAGAGAGAGATAGGAAGATTCAAGAGCTTAGTGTTGTCAAATGTTTTATTCAGCCATGACCATGAGTGCAGCCAAACAGATTAGCCTGTTTACCACAGGTTCTCATTTAAGAGATAAATCTTTAAATGTTGGATTTGGCGGGAGGAGGGAGGTGGAGAGGGGCAGCATCTATGTCCCACTAAGAAGGAGGGGGGAGGGGAATGGAGGGAGTGGAGGGGTGGGGGTGGGGGGGGTTATAATGCCACTGTAACAACGTAACTGAGAAACAGAAATAAAACTTCTAATTAAGCTCAAAGTTGTCTGAATTATTGACAGCTGTAAGCAGACTATGATCAATATGCCTTCGTATCTCTCTCTCGCTGGCTGAGATGGGGATCGAGCTATCTTCACGTAGACGGTGTGAGGAGAGAATGGAGGGGAGGTCGGGGGGGGCTATGTTCTTTGTTGTAGCTCAGTGGAATTCATGCCTCTCTCCTCTCCTTCCCTCTGCACTCCTTTTGTTCTTGACTATTACAGCGGGGGTGATGAGGCTCCCCTGGGCGTGTTCAGCTACAGAGGCCCAATCTCAGTGGATAATCATCTTCAAGACACATCAACGGGGCGGTTGTAATTTTGAACGACTGGGGGGGAGAAAAAAAAAAGTGACGCTTGAAAAACAGCAAAGATACAGAAAGAAAAAGCACAGAGCAGGAGTAAAAATAAAAACAACAGGACACGAGGTTTAAAAACCAGCAAGCTACTATGTAGAAGTACGGTTTCCCCTACTTGCTTTTATGTAAAATGATTCTCCTTTTTTTTAATAAAACATTGCCCCATCACACTGGCTTTCCTCCCTACTGTTTCTGTGCTGAATGCACCCTCGGTTTGGCTGTGAAAACCTCAGTTCTCAGGCAACTTGTTAGAAAAAGACCAAGCCAAGCATTCTGCACATTTTCCAATTAATGCTCCTGCTCTTGGCAGCGACGTAGCAAATGACTAACAAGAGAGTTGTTTTATTTCCCAAGATGAAGTACACGCGGCGTCCGTTTCTGACTCCAGAATTGATAACTAATAGATCTTCTAGAAACCCACTTTCGTACTAATGAGAGGTCATCACACCGGGTTTAAATGTCAGGGGGAAACACTGTCATTTCTGGTGGGCAATTCTGTAGTGCTTTATTGACCTTAAGGGACAGAGCATGTATTCCAGGCAAGTGTCAGGTGTGGGAGTTAGGCACAAAAAAGGACCAACTACTGTAGGGCAACTTTTAATGGAACCCTTGAGTGTTTGTGTGGATGCACGCACGCACACACACACACACACACACACACACACAACAATAGAACAGAAATGGCAACTGGCAGATGATAACTACGCGACGGACAATGATTGACAGGTGTATTGTAATGTTGAATAGCTGTGGGTCTAACTGACCATTACGTGCGTGCAGAACAACAGCATCCTCTAGAAAATCCCATTGGCCACATGGCTATCTCGTTGAAATCAATAACATCTCAAGCTATCACAGATGTTTCCTGAGTGACCCTTCAAAATGGCAGCCATTTGTCAAGCAGAGAACCTACTTGCTTTAAATGTACACCAAACTTTTGGATATTTGGCACATTTCTTCCGAGTCTCGTACAGCACAATGTTTCCTTTTCTGCTAAGGTTGTCAACCTGGTTCTCAGGATCTGAAGTAGTGAAGCTAAAGAGTTTCAAGCAGGCTCAAATGTGCAAATCTCAGAATTAACATAGGTCTTGACACGGAATAGCAGGGAGTTGTCATAGAGGATCATGAATATTCAAGCCTGTGACCTAGTTTGATACGCTGGAGCAGGACAGTGGGGTGCACGGTAAAAAAAAAAAAAAATCTGTACTCAAATGTAATACAGCAGCGTGGAAAGACGAATCAATGTGGGAGGGATTTAATCTTAATTACTTAATCAACTGTTGAGCTACCTTCTGCTTTTCAAAAGGGGTTCTCTATCTTCTCACATCGTAAGGATTTAACTATCATGACTCCATAATCAGGACACAAATGCTGTTTGCCTCCAGCCGGTCCACCATGAGAGATAAATCCCTCAAAAACAAAGTGTGAACACCCTTCCTCTGAATCATGAAGCAACATACTGAAGTACACAAATGAAAAGTGTTTCATTCTTCCCAGACCATAAGTTAATAAAAAATCCACTCTGTTGGCACCAGACTGTCTGACACAAACTCAAATTGATTCATAATTGAGTTTGTATAGATTTTTATCCAGCTTTTGCTGGTTACATTAGGGCTTGACTAGTCCCATTTTGCAGTGGAGTGTACAGCAAAATGCAACCTATGCTCCAGGCTCACTGTGCGCCGTGCATTGCAATAGCTTGCTCAAATAATAACAGGCTCTGAAGGACAATTTTGCTTGCCACTCATCAATGTGCAAACAGTGAAGGATGTATTTAGGGTCACCTTTTTCCACTGACACAAGCCTTTTCCCTGACTATTAGGACCTACAGTACATTTAGCTATTCCTAAATGGGACTCAGGATGAAATATGATTTTCACATCAAGTACACAAAAGCTTTTTGTGAACACACATTGCAACCTTGGGAGAGGAAATAAAACATTTTCAGCATACAGTTAAATGTCATGTGTGTAGGCCAAACTCAGACACTCCCGTTTTGTAGGGAAGAATGCTGTAAGTCTTTCTGGCCTTTATGTAAACCAATCTTGCCCAGTTGTAAAGAGATCGAAATGATTCAATGATCATCCTTGGGTTCACTCCTTCCCAGTGAATGATAAAACATCACGTTTTATTTTGAAAAAATCTTAAGCAGGGAATGTTTTTCAGCTGTGAAATAATACACACCTGGTCCTCTGACGCATGGGATCGTCTTCAGCCAAAACCCTTTACAACAAAGACAAAATACTTTTTTATGCCCCCTTGGACAAATTTGACTTCTTTCTCTACAATTCAAGAGAATCAGGGCATGTGAAAGAGAAAGGGGAAACGTGAAAATAGAGAATAACAAGTCCCTTAGAAAGAAAGACATGTACACCATATATGTCTGTACTGTTACAATGTAATCTATGAAATACCTATATATCATTTGAACAGTACAAAGTACAAAGTATTAGAATCCGTGTAAAAGAAGACTTTAGCGGAAGGCACTATCAATCTAACTTTTCTTGCATTTAATATAAAATACAATGACATACAAATATACAATAAAAAAAAAGAAAAAAAATTGTTGACATGACCAGTTGCAAAAGAGAAACAGCGATAAACCACCAAAAGTTAGTTTGTCAGCGAAGGTATTTTAAGAACCTCATAGATGCCTTTGTTGCTGTGTCTCACTTGGTGCGAGTGCTTTGTGATTAAGAGGGAGGCTGGCCATTCATCAGACGCCGCTGTCCATTCAGTCCTCAGAGGGGCTGTCATAGAGGTCTCTGTCCAGCCTTCATCCACGTTCCATCTTCGGCCAGACAGCAACATCCCTTTGCGACAAAAAGGACGACTAAGTTTGGGATTTATGGTCGATCTGCAACAGGCCTTAACATCTCCTGAGGGAGGACATAAAACACTGAGGAAAACAGAGTGTGAGCAATAACACACACATTTGTCTTTAATGGCTCTATGTACTGATAATGATGTTTGATTTTCCATTACGTTCCGATGAAAGGTGAGACAATGCAAGGCTGGCGATCTGATGTCCCGATCCATTGCTGTAAATGCCAAAGGACTGTAAACTTTTTATATCAGTTCCAACAGGATTAGACAACCTTAAGAATAATGCGCCGAGATACTCATTAATCCCACCTAGCCAACTATTTAATGATGATAATGATAAAAAAGCATGAGGCAAATCTGTATGCAATGCTGTTGTTTTCTTCTGAGGAAGCACCCAAAGCGGTTCAGAGGAGCTCTTCGGTTGTTAAAGGCCAGACAGCCACCATCACTTACTCATACTTGGAATAATATGTCTTTGAAGGATCATATGCATGTTTGAATAAGGGTATATGTGGTGCACGTGGAGAGTGCTTCATTAAAAGTGTGAAATATTCCCATTTCATTTGATGAAATCCCCAGTGGCGCATTTATTGGTTATCCCTGGAACATTAATAAAGTCCACCAATATCATTCAGCTGGTGGAATAATTAGACAGCCTGTCCCTGAGAAGACGGTATACAGCACATAAATTCTATTAATAAGCTATGTATTGGTTTAAGATCTAGAGGCCTGAATCTAAACTTGTCATGAGAGTCGCAGACAATTATAGCACCTTCGTTCTGCAGGGACAAAAAATGATTCATTTTGTCAGCAATTTAAGTTGAAATAGGAAAACATTTCCTTCCTTACTATTTCATTTTACTGCTCAAATATATTCAAATAATGAAGAAATTCCTGAATCCGTCTCTGTTTTATTGTACCTTTGAATGATTATCTTGTTCTTCTCCAATTTGCTATGCAACTTAAACCATAACTACTGGACCATAACAAGGCTGAACGTCACACGATATTGAATTGCCACCGAGTGGCTTGTTGCTGTAATCCTCCTCCTTCTATTTCTATTTATTCATACTTTGTTTCTGTTCATTCCTATTATCATATTGTTTGCGTTCAAAAAAGTTATAAAAAAAGAACAGTAAAAGTTGTAATTTAAATGCGACTTATAGGTGTTTGAAAAATAGCGGAAGTATTTGGTAGGTGCAAATGACATTACATATTAACAATTCCACTGACATATCTGAGAGCTTTGACAGCTGTTTTCAAAACTTACATTACAAGAATGAAGAATGAGAGGTATTAATAAAAAAAAGCTCCTCAGCAGTAACACCGTAGAAGTTTCTAGAATCATATCTTGCCAATTACAACATCTAGACTTTAAGGTGAGAGAAATGTTACTGCCGGTGACGAAGGGCTGCTCTGCTGCTTCACAAATACCAAAGGCAGGGTCACTTCGAAAACTTCTGCCGGCCATCTCCGCAGATGGATTTGGAGAAGGTGGCGCGGCTCAAAGGTTTCAGGCTAACCCTCCAGCAGTGACTGTGGCTGTAATTACCTGACACACAGTGGAGTGGATGCAGGATGCCACTGCAGCAGAGTGGCAGAGGAACAACAGGACGGCCTAAGTGGAGCCAGGAGAGATGCCGAGGAAGAGGGAAACCTATTTCTATTTCCCATCCTGACTTTTATTCAATTTATTTATTTGATAGATATTTGCATGCTGTTTTCCTCAGTCCTGTGCATTGTCTTGTTGTGACAACTTTAGAAACTTAGTTGTGGTTTTGGACCAGTAACCCCGCAATCCTCAGTCAAAGCTGATTCAGCTCCACCGCGTGCCCTACAGCTGCATTTCCCCACGCGTGCAAATAAACACAGTCTATAAAGCAATCAAAGTTCTTAATTTTCTAAATGACTTAAATGCACCCTCAAATAAACTGCTGTAATTCTAAATACAATGGTGAAACAATATTGGTTAGTGGCCAATTGTTGGAAATAAATGCAAGTTAAAATTAGGCTTTGAACTCAAAAAAATCACAAATAATCCATAAGCCTATTTGTGATATATAGTTACCATGTCTCTCTCTCTCTCTCTCTCTCACTCACTCACTAACACACTGTTACGTCCACAAAGTGAGACAATAACTTTAACAACAACCAAATTAAACAGAGTCAAAGTGATTTTCGTGAATTAACTGTTTATTAACGGACAACTGATTCACAAATGTGGTGGAGGTAGGGACAATATAGTTGTGCCAAATAATCAAAATTAAAAAACCCAAACTAGGCCTAACTAAATCTGACTTCTGAAAACAACAAAACAAAAGGCTGACTGAGTTCTCTACAAACAGCAGTGTACAAATACAGGGGATGGCAACAACCACTAAACACAAGTTAAAGAAGTAAAGAGTTCCTATTTCTTTTACCTGTCTGGAACGAGCCTTTCCCAGCATGCACTGAACAGCAGATGGTGCATTTTAGAAACTGACATTATCTGCGTAAAAAGAAAGAAGATCAATCACAAATATCACATTAAATGAACAGATATCACATAATGTGCATTATCCATGATGAATGAACCGTTATGGTTTGTTTCACATTTACAATGTGGGTAGTAGGAAGGAATTGAAATTAATGAACAATGATTGATTCCTCTGCTATGTACCTTCATGGCCTGGTCCCGAAGTGAAGGATGTGTGACTTACTTCATCTAATAGAAAGCTCACAGAAGTATTTCAACTTTTAGCAAATAGGATTTTATCGCATTTCATCGCTAATTGAATATCTTTGATTTTTTTTAAAACAAACAAAAAATGCAAGCAAACAAAAGAAATCAGTATATTTATTAAAGTCTATTAAAAAACTATGCAAATAACAACGGTAGAAATATCATGCTATTATGAAATGGCTCATTTATCACCCAAACTTGTTAAACCAGATTATCCAACTTACTTATCTTTACATTTCAGTTTTATTCATCACATATTTACTGTATTTTATATTATGGCATTTTAGAGTAATAGAGGATTGGAAAAGTAGATCCTAGATTTGAGGCAGAAGCCGTCAGAGTAGAAAATGTGGGAGTGACAACTCCCAGAAGAAATGGCACCCTTTCACAGACTCGAAACTCCCTCTTTATTATTACAGGTGTGAAAGTGTCCGGCTGACCATGCCGCCGATCCCTGTGCTAAAACGCATGGCGTAAGAGAGATACGCCTTATCTCTCGGAGAAATGTAAAGTGGAGAAACTCTCAGTAACCGTGTGAGTAATGCGGTCAAAACATTCCTGAAAACGACTGCAGAGAAGTTAAAAGCGACTGGATTTTGTTTATGGCCTCCACCTCGGCCCTCCTCCAGGCAACCAAGGTTGCGCCTGGCTGCCAAATGGGTTACTATCAGCAACAGTGAAGTGGCAGAAGACCCACTTAAACACCAGGCAGAGCCAAGAAACTGATCTCCTGTGAGAGGAATGTCCGGCTGGATCTTCCCACGTCACGCAGGGTGCTGATGCACTGATAAAGGTTTTTCCACCAAGTGGATTCTTCCTTTACTGTGACACTCCTGATTGGCAAAAGGCAGAGTTAGACTTTTTTTTTTGTCTTTCCAATCTGTAAGTAAAAGGAGCTCAAAGATAATCGTGACAAGCTGCTGACCCCTGTGGCTAGGTCACATTTCTCCAGGACGAGAGGAGCACTTCCTGGCACAAAACAAACTATCCAATAAGGACTCAAAACAATTATCAGTGCTTCACATTGTCGGAGAGACACGCTCCCCTGGGACCGATTTACTTATCAGTTTCCTCACTATGATAAACGTCACAACTGCGGTGACTCCGACTGACGAGCCAGTGACATGACAGGAAGTGCTCCCGGACGGTTTGTTTGCCATTTTGCCACTGGATGAGATGTTTGTCAGTGGAAGCAAGCCGATGCTGGGTGATCAACAGATCAATTGTCTCAACGCTTGCTTTTTTTTATAGCAATATCAAGCTCAAGTGAATCCCAACCAATCAGAGAATAAATGTGAGCTAGCAAACTCCATTCAGGATGGAAAATTTGATTTAAAAAATGTGTTCTGGTTTATAAGCAATATATACATATCTGGCAAAGACAAATGGATTTCCCTCGCACACAGCATAGTTAAGAATAATGATGGTCACCAATTGATTTAGCAGCAGAGCACCGTCTGACACTACAAACGCAAGCACAGTTTTGCCAAAATCACGACGTTAACAGATGATTTCCTACGGAGTGGTTTGTTTAAAGGCCTGATGTATACGAGCTATGTCAACAGCTAGTTCCCCGTGTCAGCATTGTTGTGTATTTAAACCTTTTTACATCTGTGATGGATGGTGCTAATGAGTGATGTACACGGCCCTAATTTGTGTAGTCTTTATGTCAAATGTCAAAACAACGGATGTACACAGACCAAAGCACACGTGGAAAATTTGACCAACTGCAGGAGAGTAACGTAGCACATGCTATTCTTTATTATTTAGTATATTCGTACTGTAGGCAAAATAAACACAAACAGTGAGGGCAGTAACAAGCAGCAAGAGACATGTTCAAGGCTTTTTGGTTGGCTTCACCTTAATCATCATTTGTTATATATAATTGATTTGCAGAAAAATAGGTACAGTAATGACCTGGCAAGCCCGTCAACACAGTGGTGGTGAAAGCAATTTTACACTTGCCTCATGGAGACTGTAATTATAATTTTAATAATTGTGTGTCTTATTTTTTTATTGTTTGGGCAAACTATTGACAAAATGCATGACATGTGGGGTTTGGAGACGTTCAGGCAAGCAGAAGAAAAGAAAATTTATTGATTTATTGGGGCCTAATTCAAAATGTCCCTTTTCATTTATTGAGCTAATTTGTGAAAGACGTGTTGTGTGACGGAGGAAGAATGAATGGAGAATATTTAAAGGTTACTCAGATTCCTAGGATTAAAAATATTACGTATAAGAAATATCTTTCATGAGCAGGGTTTAATCAACTGGATGGGATGGAGACAACATCAATATATTAAAAATTATATTGCTGTCTTTTGGAGATGCAAACAAAGTTTTTGCTGACTAAGACCCAAACATACATCTTAGATATTACCCGGCTGTCTACAAGCCACAACTTAATAGTCAAGTGAGGTTTTAGAAGATGAGCCATAGAACTGTTGGGAATAAATGCTTAATTAATAGATGATCAAAACACTTGAATCAATTTCAACAATTGTCTAAGAAAAAATAGATTCCAGCTTCTTAAATGTTAGGACTTAATGGTTTTATTACTTATTAAGTAAATTAAATGTATTTGCATTGGCCAACATATAACATTTATCATCAAGGGCTTTGGCTAACACTGATAATAACCATATTCTGACATTTAAAGACCAACTGAACAAAACATAATGAATAGATTAAGCATCAATAAAAGTGGTTGTTAGTTACAGTGCTAATGGGTGGTTTTAAGTTAGTTGAGCCAAATAACATAGAATCAAATTAATTGATGTAAACAAAGTCAAGAAGTGTCCTTAAAAGTATTTAATTGTGCTTTTTAATAGATGTGAAAAAATAGATAATTCAGCAATTAAAACAAGAAAAGGATTTGATGAATTCATTTTTTTTCTTCCTAAATGTGGGTGTACTGTATCAACAAATGCATTGCAAGGATACGTTTTTTTCAAATTAACGGATTTAATTGAACTACCATTTTTTATTTCACACTCTACAATCTCACCCACCACAGTTAGTGACTAGTTATAGAACAAACCAGAGCATTTAGCTGCTAAAGAGCCAGCTATTTGCACAAGTAGTTGGTTAAGACCTGAAGAAAAATGTAGGAAAAAGTACAATGACGCATTCTTACAACAAGACTACTTGACTTCATTGTTTATTAAAGCCAGCACCGACGACACTATTTATGAAAAATAGTTATATTATATTGTATTTTCTTAACCTCCAGTTCCTGCAAAGCTCTGCAAATGCACCTTCGCTCTTATATAAACATTTGAGGCACAAGAGATGGGTCTGAATCCAAAGGTCATGCAGTTGATTTAGGATAAAGACATATGCGGCTCTTCAGAGCTTATGACTCATATTTTCTGGGGTGTCAGCGAAGCGTTAGTCTTGACTGTAATCCACTGTGCTCAGCCTTCTTTTAGGAGGCAACACCAACAGTGAGTTTTTCCGAGCACATAACACAAACCTAAGCAACACTGCGTTAGTTAATCGTGCACTTGATGAGGGCTAATTCATGCTACCAGTACCTGATTCACAAATCTCACTTTCACCCACAATTTGGTGGTCTGTAGCAATTTCTTGAGTAAACCTTTTCGCACCTTGAAAACACTAAACCAATACATTGCTGAGTGGGAACACGGATGTCATGGTTGGCCAATAAATTAAAATTTTTTTACTGATTGAGGGGATTTAAAATCCTCAATGATATTTAGAAAGATGGGACTCTAAGACTGGTCATTTTTTTAATGTTGGAGTTTGCCATTTAACACGGTTACAATGTTACAAATCGTTATGCTCAAAATCAGCAATCTACACATTTTGACCTAAATCTCTGTTTACATGATAATCTGCAAATGAAGGCCGCAAAGACCTACTTATCTAATTCTGTAGTAATCCTGCTATATTTTTATGTGTTGGATTATAGCATTTAGCGAAACAAAAAATATACATAATCTATGTCTTCTTGTCACAAAAGATGTAAATCTTCCTCTGACAAATATTAGTGTTATATTAGTTGAAAAACGCTAAATAAAAAAAATGAATGAAGACAAAAAGGAACATTTGGGATTATTTCATCAAAAAAGACATTTAGGGTTGTGTCAACCTTTTTAATCGCTGATTAAGCTGTATTGTTTGGGTAAAAGCTTTCATTTTATTGAAAGGATAGTAATACACAACATACATTTTGTGTCATTATTGTGGACTCAGTGGGGGGAGGCACCGAGACACTGTCCCTTTATAGCAAACCGGTTCACGGGTTTCAACCCGTTGCCGTGTGTTTCTTCCAGGGGCTCCAGTGGCCTTCGACAGTCTGAAGACGTGCAGCTCTGGTTGATTTGAGACTCTAAATCGCTGCAGGTGTGAATGTGAATCTCTGTGTGTGTGAGTGTATTACCTAAGATAGACTAGCGGGTGTCACCCTTCCTTTCACGGTGGGCGCGCTGCGTCAGCCTTCGGCCTTGCTTGACTCTGAAATAGGAACGAGTGTGTTTAGGAAATTTATGGCTGGATGAGTTGATCACATGATGGCGTATGTCACATGGTTCACACAGGCTTTAACTGAATATCGGATATCAAATTCCTCAAAAAGTAAACATAAAATAAAAGTGTGTTAATATTACATTACACCCAAAGCATTTCAGCATATGATATTATTATTATTGAGTACGAATCTAATAGCCGTCAAAGGCTGAATAAAGTTTTTTTGTGAATAGTAAAGTTTTGCAGCCATTAATTTAGTCCTAATAACAATCAGCATCAAATGTGGGACTGCAAACGTATAGCTTCAAATTTGTTTGTGGGGTGCAAGTTATCCAAAAAATGTTATTACACTGACTATTCATAACAATGATGTAAAATGTTGGTTTTCAACTTTCCTCTCAAGAAAAATGTTAAATTAAGGCTTGTGGAGCATTTTTTGAGCACCCTGGATTCTTTGTTTTTCATAATAATTCATAATGTGTTGATTCTACAAGTACTCTTTTCTAACTATTTTGTTTTCTTAATTTATGCTGATTAACTGTTTCCCTGGTAATTACGCTGAAGTAATTACAACATCAATCTTTGCCTGTTAATTCCTGCACAAAAGTTTGAAAATAAATAAAGATTTAGTGACACGAATGGATTAAAAAGCAGAATAATGTTTTTTTAACCTAAGCAAATATATCTTAAATTGAAATGAGCAAATACAATGAGTGCAAAAATGATGGTTGAAATGCTTGCTGACCGTGTCCAAAACCACCTATGCTGGCGAGCTGAGATGGCCTTTTAGACCTTTGGTAAAACGGCCCATCGGGGAGGTTCATTGTTTACCAAACCATCTGCAGGTCAATCGAAAAACGGCAAAAAGAAGTCGAGCGCATCTACATCCCCCCGACGTTGCAGAACAGCTTGAGGACTAGACAGGACTTAAGAGGCCATAAATGGTTTTCTTAGCACCTTAGGTCTTTACTGTGTTCAAGGAAATGACCAGTGTACGAGATAAAAAGCAAACAGGTTTCAGAGCCCCAAGAGTTGATGTGATACGAATGATAATACACAGGTTGCCGAAAAGGAGGAGCAGAGGAAGTGAATTTGAGTCACACTTATCATTGTGTGTCAGAATTTAAGGTATGACTTTTCTTTCTTTGATATTTCTTCCACAAGGGCTTAGAAAATGTAGGAATCCTACAGGTTAAAATATTTAAATGAGTTAAAATGTAAGTTTTCCATGCAATAAATGGTTTTATTTGAAAACTACAAAACGGATTTCTTGTATCCTCTCTATTCATTATTAACACGGATTCTAGACCTGTTACTTCTCAAAGTATTAACAATCCCCCCTCACCCTCCCTTTAAACCAACAAACCTAAATTGGAGAATGGTTGAACAAACTTTTGCATGTAATCACAGACATATTTTATTCATGTAATGATATGGAATATTAGCTAAATCATTCAGTGTCAGCAGTTCATGCTTGCATGGCCCAAACATAGCATCCTGAAACTGAATAGATAAACAGTGTTCGTCAAAGGATACCAGAATGACTCTCTAAATTTAGCACACTTAGGAATGCATATTTCTCTTTGGTCATACCCCTCTGCACATTTTGTCCAACTTAATTACACAGAATGTTGTGCCCTACTTATATCTCCACTCTCAAGTTGCTCTACTAGGGAACAGAACAGGCACTGATAATACATTTCAGACTCTCCTCCATGACAGACAACCTATCTAACTTTGAAGATGGCTAAGCCAGTCCAAAAAAAAAAAGTGTCAAGTGTGACTGGTGCGCAGTGAGGAACGAGCTGGAAACTGAATCGCCGTGCAAGAAAAATATTTCACGTTCAAGGTATCGTATTCTAATAAACCACATTTCCCAGCGGTGGGGGGATTATCACTGTCCATTTGTCTTGGCCGGGCCACCACTGCTACAGAGACACTGCCTCTTCTGTGTGTCTGCACGGCTCAAAGTTAAACCGCGACGCTGCGACCGGCTGTTAATAAATTTGTCTCTGGTAAACAGCGGTTGGTCGGCAGCCAGGACCCTCAGCTCTAGTCGGATGATACATTATCGCTTATGTTTTGCCCCTTGTTTAATGCCATCCCATGTACGGGGGTCTGGTAGCATATCCTTCAAAGCTTATTCATCATTGGAAACTTAAACCCAAGTCTGCGTAATGTGTCACATAATCCTGTATTTGACAGAATATGTGTGAGAACATTTCTGCCATAACTTCAGAAACAGCTTATCCATGAATAGGGTTTTATCACAGACAGAGCATTCAATTAAATCTTTGGCTTTTCACATTTAGAAAAAGAAAAGAAAAGCTTCTTTTCCTTTGTTTGAGTGACTGAGGCTCTGTGTTTTTCATTATCATGTCATTCAATTTATTCACACCGCTTTCATCTTCCTATACACAAAATGCCAAGAATGTTGTAATGTGTTATCGATATTCAAAGCCTTCTACACAAAAAGAGAGAAAATCAACTGCATTATTGAAAAAACCTTTAGTTTATTGATACATAAATAAAAGTACATTCTTACAATTGATGTGCGATTGTGAGCTTCTCCGTAGTTTGCACAAAGTAAAAATAAACTATCAAGGCAACTCTTGCAGCTTAGAAATGTTTGGAGAGAGTTAGGCTCTTCTCCTGCAACTGTTTCTTTTCCATCACGCTGCCCATTTTTCATTTGTGAGCATTCCATATGAAATAAGATCCTTGCATTCGCATCCAAGAATGTACTCTGCATTCAGCAGCTGCATTCTCGAGTCTTGTCTTTTCCTATGTTAATGATTTAAATAGGAAAATCCCCCCTGTGCTCCTCTTCCTTGAGGATCTTTCTCCCAGTGCAGCACAATTGCAACAATGATGAGTAAAACCGACTAAATCTTGACTGATACTCTTTCCTAATCTCCGCTTGAGAGAGTGAGATGGATCTACGTTTTTGAGTTTACCACCAAACTCAACCGCTCCCCGGATGACTAATGTGTTGCTGGGACGGAGGCTTTGCAATGTGTGGCAAGATCTCCCGAGGCCTTTGTGGCTCTCACATGCTCAACATCCCCATTGAGACAGTAAAGAATAGGTGGTCACTAGGTATGGACACAATGAAAGCAAACTCAGGGACTGGGACAATCACTTCAGCTGTCAGGGGGGTGACAGAAACTGTAATTAATGGTATTTTCTATTTTCACAGAAGAGAATGAGCATCTGACAGAAGCATTATTAATGAGTGCAGCCTTGTTGGAGGGAATAATGGCAGTTTATTAGCAGTAAGATAGATTTAACAGAGCAGCTTCGAACAAAAGGTGACACACATTGAAAAATGGAGACAATCTGTCAAAGGGAGAAAATGTTCAATACAACCAAAATGTTGGTATTGTGATATTATTCCCTTTTACCCTTGAAACCATCTGTTAGGCAAGTTGAAAATAAAAGAAGCCCGCTTTTTTCATAAACTTATCACTTGAAAAGAGTAAATGTTGAAAGCAAAATGGTGTCGAGATAAACATTTTGCTGCCACTTGCTCTGTGATAATGTGTCTAAACAAACGATCGTTTGACAGGGGCATAGATTGATATTCTTATTTTGAGATCCAAAGCAAACATGACTTTAGAGTGAAAAAATATGATTTATTTATGGTAATTGTAATGACGACTGCTTCATGGTAAGCCCGGCCAAATCAAAAGGTTTAAGAGAATCGGCATTCATTCGTTATAAATGGACATATATGTTCTTTTGGATTAATAACCCAAACAGACATCCATTTTAACGTTTGAGTTAGTGGCCTTGAAGTCATTCTTATTTTAGGAAACGACACATCTAAACCAGAAACAAATACGCTCATTACACAGATTGGATGAACCAATACAAGTAGTAATTGTTTGCAGCCGCAAATCCAATAGAACATAATGAAAAACTATGCAATTACTTGAAAATCGTTTTTTTCTTACAATATCTTACGCATTCAATCAGGGAATAAGATTTTTTTTAGCAATACTGATGATTACAATATTGCCATTGGGTGAAAAGAAGTGTTAAACGTATTCCGGCAGAGTTTCAACAGACACTCTGCCTCATTCATTCCACTGGACTGGAAATATGGCGTAGATGTGACACTACAGGCGCATGTCATTGAATAGATGTACTAGATGATCTCCAGAAATGAAATGATAACCCCCCCCCCCCGCCCCACCCTCCTCCTCCCAAACCTATTTTCAGGTCATGTAATTGATTCTCATCCAGCGAGTTTGACTGTATTATGTTTTTTTGAAAAGTTAAAAGAATCCAGCTAATTTCTCTCCAACCAGGCAACACTTAACCAGATGAGAGTGGCCACTTCAAGCTTTGTTGATGCATCCAAGAGAGGCAGGCCAGCCCAGCTGCAAAAGCTGATCAAAAGAAAGAGGGGGAATGTGATATTAGCATCAAGTGCCTCAGCGAGTGACTCAGACAAAAACACAGAAAAAAAAACATTATCAGACACTTCCTTTACCCATGTTTGGTGGTGAATATATCTGTTTGTGAAGCAGCTGTGTGCATCCATACATGGCATTGAATCGTACTTTAACCAGCATTATAAGGCAATTCCTCTTTCCCTTTTGCATGCAGTTATTGGTAGTATGCTAATGACATCCGCTGTGATTAGCGATTTTCTTCTAATCTTCCTTCCACGATGGCCTAAGCAATCACAAAGGTAGAGCTTTGAGATTTACAGCAGCAAGCTCCTTCCCATCTGCCTTGACACGATTTACTTTAGATAATAACAAGACATTTTGATTCAAAGGCCACTTTGGTGCATCACTGTGCATTTGCAGATCCAGGAAACACGCTCACAGGAACATTGGAGCCTTTTTCTGTCATGACCTAACCTGTGTTGGGTGAAAGATGTTTAAAGAGGGAAGTTTCTGGTTTATCACTAGGGCTTAAAAGGGTATTTTCTTTCATGTGAATATAGTCAGCTACATCCATCTTTTTCCCTTTTT